AAAGGTATACAGAAGCAGCTTGAAAGCGATGTTCAATTTCACTCCTCACTGAGAAATGCAAATGAGGTCACACTGAAACTGAATGAAATGAAAGCTTGAAGGAGAACATGATCTATTTATATAGTCTCAAAGTATCTCCTCACAGCCATTTCTTAAGGGAAAAGGGGAACTTGCACACAGTGGGGAAATGGGTAGGTACCATCTCAGCCAAATAATCAAAGTTAGCACCATGTGCCTTGTAATGTAATAGTGATACACTACCCATCTTGTGTCCCTGCTTAAAATACATAACCTAAATCTAATGATAAGAAAACACCTCACAAACTGCAATGGAGAGGCATGCTACATAACTAGCCTGTATTCTTCTCAAATTTCAATGTTCTCAAAGACAAAGGCAAAGGAACTTTCCAGATTAAAAGACAATAAGGAGAGAAGACAATTAAATGTACTGTGTGATCCTTGGATTGAATCCTGGATCAGAAGAAAACTGCCATGAAGGACATTACTGGGAAATTTGGTGAAATCTGAATGTGGACTGTGTTTTAGGTAGCAGTAGTTTATCAATGTTAAATTCTTGAATGTGATAATTCTGCTGTGGCTATGTAAAGTAACATCTTTGTTTAGAACATGCTGTCGCCAACTAAACTCTCAAATAGCAAGGGAAAAAAATTATATTCTTTTGGCAGGAGAGGGAGAATGATAAAGCAAATGTGGCAAAATATTAAGAATTTGTGATTATGTTTGCAAAGAATATATGAGAGCTCTTGGTATTATTTTCACCACCTGTTAGCTCTTTGAAGCTTTTAAAAGACATTGTACTCATTTAATTCATCTTTTCTAGGTGACTTCAGTGAAGAGTGGGGCAGGGGGAGGGTTAGTCCAAATTACTTTGTATATAGAAGATACATACATACATAATAATTCCTTCTTCTTGTTTATACAATGCTGAAATACCACCTACACTGCTTTACACCTTGTTTTTCTACCCAACAATATATCCTGGAACTCTCTGTGCATCATAACTTAATGGGTTTTCTCATTCCTTTCCATGGCTATCAAGTATTTCATCACTGGGTAGAATGTGATGCTACCTATCAATGGACATTTAGGTCATTCTACCAAAAACACCATGGAAGCAGGAGTCAAGAAATCAGAGTTCATATTGCAGTGGGTTGGAAGGAAGGTTGGGCAATCTACTTCTGTAGTGATACCGCTTTGGAGATCCAAGGAGGGGTAGCTATGAGTCGGGTCCGACTAGAGGGCACATAACAACAACAACAACATCATTGCACGGGGTAAATCTGCTGCAAAGATGTCACTTTGAAGACTAAGGTATGCCTAACTCAAATCATGGTATTTTCAATCACCTCATATGCATGTGAAAGCTGGACAATGAATAAGGAAGACTGAAGAAGAATTGATGCCTTTGAAGTATGGTGTTGGTGAAGAATACTGAAAATATCACGAACTGCCAGAAGCATGAACAAATCTCTCCTGGAAGAAGTCCAGCTGGAATGCTTCTTGGAAGCAACAATAGCCAGACTTTGTCTCACCTACTTTGGTCATGTTGTCAGAAGGGACCATTCCCTGGCAAAAGATATGGTTGGTAAAGTGGAAGGTCAGGGAAAAAGGGGAAGACCCCTCAGTGAGATGGACTGACACAGTGGCTGCAATGATAGGCTCAAATATAACAAGGATTGTGAGGATGGTACACGACTGGACAGTGTTTTGTTTTGTTGTACATAGGTTCACTATGAGTCAGAGCCGACTCAATAGCACCTAACAACAACTAAAAACACCACTGTAGTAAATAATCTTATACACAAGTCATTCACCCATGTATGAATTTATACTGTAGTATATGTTTCTAGGGGAGCTTTGGTAGCGTAGTGCCTAAGGCACTTGACTGCTAATCAGAAGGCCAGTGGTTCAAACCCACCAGCCACTCCTCAGAAGGAAGATGGGGCAATCTACTTCCGTAGTGATTCTGCCTCAGAAACCCAAGGAGGGGTCACTATGAGTTGGGTCCAACTTGACGGCACATAACGACAACGACAACATATGTTTCTAGAAAGGAACTCTGATGGTGTAGTGGTTAAGGCATTTGGCTGCTAATAAAAGGTTCATGGTTCAAACCCTCCAGCTGCTCTGTGAAAGAAAGTTGAGGCAGTCTGCTTCTGTAAAGATTTATAGCCTTGGAAACCCAATCAGGGTCTCTATAAGTCAGAATTGACTTGATGGCAATGAGTTTGGTTTTGGTTATGTTTCTAAAAACAGAATTACTCAATCAGAATGAATGTTCACTTGTAATTCTGGAACATATTGAAGCTATAAATAAAAAGTTTGGTGTGGGCAAAAGATGGATATAGAGATGAGGTAAGAATGGCTGAATATTGACAGTTGCTGCAGTTGAGTGAAATGTGCATGGGGGATTCATTTACTTAGTATACGTCTAAAATTTCCCTAGTAAAAAGTTTCAAAGAAAAAGTTCAGCAATGCAGACGAAGCATTGCTTAGAGGAAAGTATGTGGCATTAAACACGTATTAGGAAAGAAGAAATGAAAAATGAGGTAAGTATCTATCTCAAGAAGTTGAAAAACAGCAAAATAAACTCAAGGAAGGACATAATAAAGAGATGAACACACATTTACAGAATATAATACACACACACACACACTCTCACTGCTGTCTAGTTAATTTGACTCATATCACCCCCTCTTTGGGTTGCCGAGGAGGTATCTCTACGGACATAGATTGCCAAATCTTCCTTCTGAGGAGGGGGTGGTGGTAGTTAAATGCCTTAGGCACTACTTGTTTTCAAGAAAAGTACAAATAACCCACATTACTAATGAAAATTGGGACATCATCATTTTGATCCTACAGACATTTTGCATAAAATATCATTAAAATGAAGGGTGGATGTGAGTAGCTGATGGTAGTGAGGATATCTTTCATGTTTATGTAATTCTGGACCATGTAATATATTATTTTTCAAGAAATAATTATAAAATCAAATCTAATAAAATTCAAGTCTTTTCCCCATATGACTGTGTGTGTGTGTGTATATGTATATATATATATATACTATTCAATTCTATATCTTACATACAGTGAAAAATTCTCACTAGCAACTACCCTTGTCAGTTAACTACATCTAGGGGCAGAGGGTCATAGCAATGGCAGACATCAGATCACCAGGGGGCTTTAAAAGTATTGATGTTCAGGGCTCTCACCAGAGCAATTATGTGATCTCTAGGTATAGCACCAAATCACTGATATTTTTAAAAAGCTCTCCAGATGATTTCGGTGTGTAAGCTGGGTTCAGAACCACTGAGTTAGGGCAACATTTGAGTTAATAAAGCTCCAAATTGGGTACAAAGAGGTAATTGGAATGCCTGCAGTTCTTGGAGAATGTGCTATGTTGCCAATACATCACCTGAACTACCTGGGATGCATGGTAATCTGGTACCTGAAAAACCCCAATTCATTTGCTCCTATCACCTGCTTGCTCACAGCATCCTTCTTTTGGCACCTTGGACACGCCTCACTGGTACCTGTCTCAAGTTTTTTGCACTTACTATCCTCTCCCCAGAACACTCTTTTACCTTTACATGGCTACCTTGTTAGCAATCAGAAAAGTCTTCCCTAAACACCCTATCTGACTGCCTTAATCTCTTCCATGGTATTTTTATTTTCTATTTTGTACTCAACCCCTATGAAATGTGCTTATTTGCTTACAATCTCTTCTCATTATAATTAAACGAAGACTTACCAGGGTCCTTATACACCACTATCTTTTGTACCTAGTATACAGAAGGTGGTCAATTAATATTTGTTAAGTGGATGAATGAAAAAAGTTTGGCATCATTATTGTTGATGTAGTTTGTTGTGCATTTTTAGGTTAATCCCACAGTATCTAGTATCTATATCTATGGAATGGAAGCTCCACAGGGCAGAGAATTTGTCTTTGGTTCATTGCCTTATCTTGGTTGTTAGCTGCTGTGGAGTTGCTCCAACTCATGGCAACATCATGTACAACAAAACCACTGTCCAGTCCTGAGCCATCCCAATGATTAGCTGAGGATGAGACTATTGTGATCTAGAGAGTTTTTATTGGCTGATTTTCAGAAATAGATTGTCAGGCCTTTTTACCTACTCTTTAGTCTGGAAACTCTTCTGAAACCTGTTTAGCATCATAACAACACACAAGCCTCTGCTGACAGAGAAGTGGTGGCTGCACGAGGTGCACTGGCCAGGAATCAAATCTGGGTTTGATTCAAATCAAACCTGGGAAGGCAAGAATTCTATCAATGAACCACCACTGCCCCTGCCACATGTCGAGAGCCTAGAAAACTCCCTGGCACACAGGTTCTTGTATTTGGTGGATGAAGAGTGATTCTGGAAACTTTAATTTTCCAATAATTAGACTTGATGATGTGTATGTGCTAGCATAATTCATTCCTTTACTACGAAATAGAGTATCTACAATCTCCTTTCACCCCCATCTCCTGCCAATGACAATTTGATTGTATGGCAGTACTTCCTTATCACAGTTATTTTTCAGCTGGAGAATTCAAATAGGTGGGATAAATGGATGGGCCACAGGCATTTTGCTCTACCTAAAATTTGTGATCACAGAACACTTCAGGTACAATGATCTACAGGACACTCAAAAAAAAGATCTGCAGAAAAATGAAAAATATAGCTAATTAATGATATATTTAGTGTCATGAAAACCTTATCTACCTAGCAGCTCAGAGTCTTTAGGTACAGGTTGCTCTTAAAACTTATTTTATCACATTGATTTGGTTTCCAAGCACACATGATGAAATTTAGCTACCACTGATATATAATTCCATACGTACGGTGAATTTCAGCCTTACTCTTCAAAATCTGATAGACAGTCATTCAATAAGTCATCTCTTTTTTATAAAATAATTTATTTTTATTGTTGTTGTATTGTCATCTCTTATAATTAGCTTAGTATTAAGCAAATGGTCTTACCCTATAGCACTGGCAAGATCTTCCCAATCTATTTCATTAGCATCTTCCACATTTATTTCATACAACCTATGAGAAAAATTAAAAATTAAGTTTTCAAGGAAAAAAAATCAACATGATGGACATTTTCATGGATTCACAGACCATTAGGAGTTGGAAGGGACCAATACTTTGACCCCCCATTCCAGCTTCCTCATTACACTACTCCAGTGAGATCAGCACTCTGGCCCAAGGTGGACTGAACACAGCTCTCCTTCTCCTGAGTCCTTTGTGCCTCCCACAAAACCATTTTGCTTTCTCCACTCAATGTAGCTTCACCACTCCATGTAGACACAGTAATAGTGCGTATCTGTATTCAGCACTATCTGCCAGACATTATTAAGTCCTTCATATCTATTAACTCATTTACAGTAATCCTCAAAACCACCTTGTGAGGTTGGAGGGAATTATCCTCATTCCTCATCCAGGAAACTAGAGCTGAGAGACTGAGTAACTGGCCGAAGGTTACACGATTAATACAGGGTGTCAAAAACTGAACTCAAGCCGGCCTGAATTGAGATGCCCTCCTTAGATCTGCTGCTCTGTGCAGTCTCCCTTGGCAGGGTTAAAAAAAAAAAAAAAAGGTGAAGGTATAATCAGCCAGACCAGCATGAAGAATAAGGAAATCACACCAACAAGCTTAAGACAAAGCTCATGACAGAGAACAGGAAGAAAAGTTGGAGAGGGTGACCAGAGTTTAGAAGTTTCTTCTGCTTTTTCTCACTCATTCAGAATGAGTCCAGCATCAGCTCAGGTCTCCTAGACAGCAGCCTTCATAAAACAGGCCCACATCTCCCTTTCCCTTGTAGCACTTCAGGCACCTCTATAGGACTCTGCATACACCAGGAGTGTAAAGACAAAAACAAAAACCAAGCAACAGCGATACTAACAAATGAGTACTTGGGAGGAGCAGGGCTTACTTTATTTACCTCCATTTTCAAATGGATGGAAATAAGATATCCATAGATGTTTCAAGGACTAAAATAACTACACTGATTGTTTTACATGCAACATTTCATCTTCCCAACAACAATAGAGGTAGGCACTACACTAGTATTATCAGTATCATTTAATATGAGTGAACTGAAGCTTAAGAGGTAACATACCCAAGATCATAAAAGTGCAATGTGTTGGAACAGGAATTTGAACTTTAGTAGTATCAATGCAGACCCTGCTGTTTTACAACTGAGAAAAAAGCAGTTAAAATATCATCAAGTACTATTTCTGTACCTTTCAATAAGGTTGATTTTGGCCTGCAAGGCATTGACTCCCCGGTACACATGCTGACCATAAGTCATCCTTTTGGTTAAAACTTCTGTCCTACATTAGAAAAAATAAAAATATAATTTACTTGCAAGGGTAAAGTTGCCATTAAAATCTATCATTTTCTCATTTAATTGCGCTCACTCAGTACCAATTTCTAACTTTTGCAACTTATCATTGCTAACAGTAACCACCTATGCAAACATACCTATTTTTTCTAAAAAATATTAACAACAAGGGAGAGAGAAATTAAATAATTGTGATAGAAAAGAGATGATTATTGAAACTGGATGATGATAAAAGAGGGACTATATTTATGTGAAGGAGCTCTGGTGGCATAGTGCCTAAGGCATTTGACTGCTAACCAGAAGGTTGGCAGTTCAAGCCCACCAGCCACTCCACAGAAGGAAGACTGGGCAATCTACTTCCATAATGATTTGCTACCTTGGAAACCCAAAGGGAGTTGCTATGAGTCAGAATTGACTCAATGGCAGTGAGTTTGGTTTTTCGGTTTGATGTTTATGTGTGTGCTAGAAAATTTCCACAATAAAAAGTTAAATAAAGGAGGAGGAAAAAAAGAGTAAGTCCATAGTAGGTGGTTCAAAATACTGTGTAAACTCACTTTATTTTTGGTAGTTTTTGAAACAGATGGATATTGCTATTACTACCATTACCAGCTGTTGGAACACGAAATAAAACAGACAAATTTAGTAAAGCGGTAAATGATTTAAAGATTCCTCTACTACCCCAAAGTATTTGTTATGAAATAATGGTGGAAGGAAAGGGTTGACTGAAATACCTAATGACAACTCAATTAAAAATATTTAAAAACTACTTCCCTTGACTAGCAAAATCTGTCACAATATGGATGATAGATCATTAACTGTTACAATTACATTCTGGATAATGAAGTTGTATGACATGCACACATATAATAGATATTGTTCTTACTAATATTCATCAGGTATCACTCAGTGTCATTTCAATGTTACATGAAGCAAATGTATATTAGGGCTTCAAATTTCTTATTTTTTCCCCTTTAAACTGAAAAAGAAACCTCACATGCTAATTGTACAAATTCCAAAGTAGCAGTATCCTTAATCATTCCCCCTATATTGTTTTTAAAAAACTTCAAAAATTTTTATTACAAGCAGCTGCGACAGAAACATTTACTTAAATATCGTAATTCTATTCTGACTTATCATCTTGGGATATATGTTTCATAGTATTAATAAGCCAAATTTTGCTATTCACATTATATATTTTAAGATATGACATCACATTTTCTATTTATTTTTTATTTTGGCTGAAAATGTAACATTTGCCATTTCGTTTAATGTGTACAATTCAATGACATTATGCCCATCATGTTGTACAATCATGACCATGATCTGTTTCTAAATTTTTCATCACCTTTAACCCTTTCATGACCTAATTACTTTCTGTTTTGAATATTTTGCTGATAACATGTGTTTTCATTAATGGAAGGTATGCTCATCAAGAGCATTTCTGAAATTTTGCTATGAAATATAGAATGATACATATTATATGAGACACGTATGTTCCTCTGGACTCAAGAGCATGGGTTGTTGTTTTTATTGTTAGGTGCTGTGGAGTCAGCTCTGACTCATAGTGACCCTATGGACAACAGAACGAAAACACTGCCTGCTCCTGCACCAGCCTCACAACTTTTGTGAGCCATTGTTATAACCATTGTATCCATCTATCTTGTTGAGGGCCTTCCCCTTTCTCGCTGACCCTCCACTTTACCAAGCACAATATCCTTCTTCAGGGAATGGTCCCTTCTGACAACATGACCAAAGAAGGTGACCCAAAGCCTAGCCATTCTCACTTCCAAGGAGCGTTCCAGCTGCACTTCTTCCAGGACAGATTTGTTAGTTCATCTGGCAGTCCATGGTACTTTTAGTACTCATCACCAACACCACAACTCAAAAGCATCAACTCTTCTTCGGTCTGCCTTATTCATTGTCCAGCTTTCATATGCATACGAGGCAACTGAAAACACCATGGTTTGGCGCGCACCTTAGTCTTCAAGTAATATGAAATCTTTGACAACTTCAATCTTAGCATAGGGTTAGGTGGACTCCTATGTCCTGCTGGACTCTGCACTGTCTTCTAGATCCCTTGAAGGTGCATACAATTTAGGGTACCTGAAAATGCAGTATTCATGCAAACACAGAATCACTGCAAGAAAGGTAGGTCCCAAATAATGCATGTTGTTGTTGTTGTTGTTATGAGCTGTCAAGTCGGACCTGACTCATAGTGACCCCCCCTTGGGTTTCTGAGGCAGTATCACTACGGAAGAAGAGAGGAACCCAGAAATATAAGGTTTCTCTCCCGATAAAATAGCCAAAAGAGAAAATTTTTGCAAAATCACACTTCTAGGATGCATCCATCACCTCATACATTACTCTGTAAAAATAGTAAGTTGCAGCACATGCCTATTTCTTCTGTTTCAAACAGTTACACAGTGCCCTTCCTGACAGTTGAGGAGTAAAATGTAGGTGGGTACTATATGTCCTGTGGGTCATGAAAGAGCTAAAAGAAACTTAAGCAATACCTCCCCATTTCCTCCTCCCACCTGCCATTAAACTCTCCCCTAAAAAAGCACACCCTTTGTTACTGAGCTGATTCCAATTCATAGTCACCCCATGTGTGACAGAACAGAACTGTGTCATAGGGTTTCCTTGGCTGTAATTTTTACAGAAGAAACCTTTAGGTTTTTATTTTGGGGGGGGGGGACCTGCTTCTGGTAACAACTAATAAACTTTGGTCTCTATGAATTTGCCTAATCTAGATATTTCATGCAAGTGGGATCATACAGTATTTGTCCTTTTACATCAGACTTATTTCATCCAGCATGTGTTCCAAGGTTCATCCACATGGTAGCATGTATCAGAACTCCATTTCTCCTTACAGTGAATTCTTCTGAGTATATACCTAGGAGTGGAATTGCTGGGTCATATGGTAATTCCATGTTTAACTCTTTGAGGAATTGCCAAACTGTTTTCCACAGCACCTGTACCATTTTACAATCCCACCAGCAATGGATTTGAGTTCCAATTTTCCCACATCCTTCCCAACACGTTATTTTTCATTTTCTTGAGAATGTTATTGTTGTTGCTATTTGCCCTAGAGTCAGACCCAACTCATAGCAACCCCTCCTTGGGTTTCCGAGGCAGTATCACTACGGAAGTAGATTGCCCCATCTTCCTTTTGAGGAGTTGCTGGTGGGTTTGAACCGCCAGCCCTCTGGTTAGCAGTCCAGTGCCTTAGGCACCATGCTACCAGAGCTCCCTTCTTGAGAATAGCCATCCTAAAAGCAAAAAAAAAAAAAAAAAGCCTAACTCACTGCCATCAAGTTGGGTTCGACTTATAGTGACCCCTCCTTCAGTTTCCAAGGTGCTATCTCTATGGAAGTAGATAGCCCAATCTTCCTTCCGAGGAGTGGCTGGTAAGTTTGAACCACCAGCCTTCTGGTTAGCAGTCAAACGCCTATTTAAGCCCTTTGCCCATTTTTAAATTAGCTTGCCTTTAATTGATGAGTTGTAGGAGTTCTTTATATATTCTAGATATTAAACCCTTATCAAATACATGGATTTCAAGTATTTTCTGCCATTCTGTAAGTTGTCCCTTTACTCTGTTGATAAAGTCCTTTGATGTACCAAAGCCTAGTATCGTTTTTAACACTGCTGCATCATCATGTGAAACTGACGCTTTAAATCCTTATCCTGTCTTTGGGGCATCCTCTGCCCCTATACTGTACGTATAGAAAGGGCTCTAGTTCCTCTACATAGTTCTTTAAAAACACAAAAACAAACATTATCTGTTCTTTGGAGCTTATTTTTATGAGTGGAGTCTTCTATTAAAATAACCAAATATCCTACAAAACAACTATAATACATTCTGAAACTTTCACTTTCCATACATAAGGTCACACACACATTGTCTCATGACATTGACTACAATTTACTCCAATGCAACAGCTCCCCTCCCATCTCCTCCTGACAGTTACCCCTTCCCGGTGTCCATCCCTCCATGCACTCCTGCCCCGAGCTGTCTCCCTGTGCATAAACAGCCCTTCTTTCTCCCGTGATTGTTCTCTCCAAGGAGTGTATCTACCTCAGGTAAATGTTCAACTCACATGCCTGTCTTTTGTTTGGCTGGAAGCCACAGGTGTGGGTTCAATTCCAGACCTAAAGGGTAGCTAGGGGCCATAGTCTCAGTGGCCAGGCACCATCTAGTGCTTCTGGTCTCATAGTCGTATAGGCTGAGTACCGCATGGTGTACCAGTCACCAGGAGTAATTGTTTCCATGAATCCTTAGTTTTCTTCTTCTTTGCTCTGGACAAGGAGAGACTCATCATTGCATCTAGATGGCTTCTTGCAAACTTTTAAGATCCCAGTCGCTACTTGCCATAGTAGGTTGAACAATGTTTTGTGTAGTATGTTATGCCAATTGAGCTTGATGGCCCCTGAGACTATGGTCCTGAGCCCACAGGTTCAACTACTTGCTCCCTCTGGATAGCTGGCTGTGACCAAGAAGTGACTATTACCTTGTCCTTTGTCAGCTCTACTATACACCTGAGAATTCTTACAGAACATACAAATACACTTGTAGAACTACTGTCTGCCAAGCCTATACATGGTCTTGGGTACATGCTCTGCTGCATAGACATACCTAATAGTTCAACCTGTCCACCCATCCATCTCCATATACCCCTGTTTGCCTTCACTGGCAACACAGTACTGTGTGTGCAAAAGGGTTCATCTTTCTTGCTGCACCTCCCATGTACCTCTCTCTTCCTCTTCCTCGATGCCACCATGTTGATCACTCACATTTGGTACACTCACATTTGGTACATTACTCTTCTCTTCACCCAAATCAATACTTATCTCTACCTATCTAACAGTGTTCCCTACCCTCCCTTCCCACCCCTGGAAACCAACAAAGAAAATTTCCTTCCATAGATAAACCGTTCCTTGACTTTTACAATAACAGACTAATACAATATTTGTCCTGTGATTGAATGATTT